TAATCATCAAGCACTGAGCACTGGACTTTCAATGCTCACTTAACCCCCTGGACAACTCTGACAAGTATTAACAACAGTCCAACTTTCACAAACAGAAACAGGTTCAGAAAAGGGACTTAACCAAGATGCGACAGCTTCTAAGTGCCAGTGCTACAATCTAAATTCACATCTAATCTCCATCCTATCTCATTGGCTTAGCATCTTTTTGCTATCTACACATAAGTCATGAACTAAGTTAAAACCTCAGTCCAGGCTCGGCGCCTATAGCTCAACTGGCTAAGGCGCCAGCCACGTACACCTAAGGTGGCGGGTTCAAATCCCCAGCCCAGACCCGCCAAACAACAATGACGGCTGCAACCAAAAAATAGCCGGGCGTTGTGGCGGGCGCCTGTGGTCCCAGCTACTTGGGAGGCGGAGGCAGGAGACTCGCTGGAGCCCAGGAGTTGGAGGTTGCTGTGAGCTGTAATGCCACGGCACTCTGCCCAGGGGGACAGCTTGAGGCTCTGTCTCAAAAAAAAAAAAAAAAAAAAAAAAAAAACTTCAGTCCATATTTCTTTGTGGGCTCGGCGCCTGTGGCTCAAGCGGCTAAGGCACCAGCCACACACACCTGAGCTGGTGGTTCGAATCCAGCCCAGGGCCCACCAAACAATGGTGGCTGCAACCAAAAAACAGCCGGGCATTGTGGCGGGTGCCTGTAGTCTCAGCTACTTGGGAGGCAGAGGCAGGAGAATCGCTTGAGCCCAGGAGTTGAAGGTTGCTGTGAGCTCTGATGCCATAGCACTACCCAGGTCGACAGCTTGAGGCTCTGTCTCATAAAACATATTTCTCTTTGTTGATAAGCATATCCTAGGACTGTCACCAAAACCTTGCTGAAAGCATTACAATGTTATTGTATGGGTAAGTTGACCAGATTTTAACTTTTGTAAAATGAGACAACATGGCCGGGGGACAGGGCAGGGCAGGGCCTGACAACAATGCAAACTTTGATAAGCAGTTCTCCATAATCACTTCTCAACAATTATTTGTAATTATTACAATTTAACATTATAAAATTAACAAAAATAATATATAAAACTCATATTCTGGTGAAATAGCCACATGGCAGCCAAAAACCGTATATTCCCTTCCTGTTCTCCCGCCCATTAGTGCATTCTTTCCAAAAATCGGGACTTTCTTTAAAACCCCGTGGGACATGGGACAAATTGTTAAAAAGCGGGACATCTGGTCACCCTATGTAAGCGTTATTTTATGAAAGGGAGGAGTGACATTAGCAAGATGGCCACACCCTACATGGAGACAATGATTCAACAAAAATGCATGGACTAGGCGGCGTTGGTAGCTCAGTTGGTGGGGCGCCAGCCACATACATCGAGGTTGGTGGGTTTGAAACTGGTGTGGGGCCAGCTAAAGCAACAATGACAACTGCAACAAAAAAACTGCCAGGCGTTGTGGCAGGCACCTGTAGTCCCGGCTGCTTTGGAGGCTGAGGCAAGAGAATCACTTAAGCCCAAGAGTTTGAGGTTGCTGTGACCTGTGACACCACAGTACTCTACTGAGGCCAACAGTTTGACACTCTGTCTCAAAAAAAAAAAAAAAAAAAAAAAATCGCATGGACAAATTCCATCAGCAAAAAAATCCAGAAATCAGTTAGGGAGTTCCTACCCCCAGGCAAGCACAAAACCACCTGCATCCAAGTTTTTAGACAATTTCATGGCACTCACTTGACAGGTTCTCTTGCCACCTGACAGGGCAGTGTAACTGGGAGGAAGCTTTCCAGCTCCCACGTTTTCCCTGAGTAGGAAAAGAAAAGACTGAACATCCCATTGTCTGCCCGGGGTGGGAGTTGGGTGGGGGGATGCTTGCCTGAATCTATGGTACCTGCAGAAGGAAAAAGCTCCAGGTTAGGGGTCGACGTCTGCACTACCACACACTCACTCATCATGTCCCCCACATTGCTCAACATGAAGAAAGTAAAGGGAAAACCCAACTCCTATGTAATCAAATGATTTCTGACAAGGCTGTCAAGGCTGCATAACGGGAAAAGGGACTCTTTTCAAGAAAAGATGCTGGCTCGGCGCCCAGAGCAGTGGTTACAGCGCCAGCCACATACACCAAGGGTGGTGGGTTTGACCCCAGCTCAGGCCAGCTAAACAACGACAACTGCAACAAAAATTAGCCGGGCGTTATGGTGAGCGCCTGTAGTCCCAGCTACATGGGAGATTGAGGCAAGAGAATCGCTTAAGCCAAGAGTTTTGAGGTTGCTGTGAGCTGTGAGGCCACAGCACTCTACCCAGAGTGACATAGTGAGACTCAGTCTCAAAAAAAAAAAAGAAGAATGAAAGAAAAGGTGCTCTTTATCAAGGGCATCGCTTCAAGAAATGGCACCAGGAAAACTGGATTTCTACTCAAAAAAAAATGAAATTAGCACCTTATTGTACACCATACACAAAAATCAACTAAATAAATAAAGACTTAAATGTAAGGCTTGCAACTATAAAACTCTGATGAAAACATGAAAAGTGATGTTGGTATAGGCAATGATTTATTGGATATGACACATAAAGCAAAAATAGAGGCAAGTAGGACTTTATCAAATTAAAAACATACTATAAACATGTATAGGGTTGAAAAAAACAATGAACAGAGAAAGGAACCTACAGAATGGGAGAAAATATTTGCAAACCATGTATCTGACAGGGGTTAAAATACAAATACATGAGAAATTCCTACAACTCTAACAAAAGACTTGAACCTTACTTGTTCAAAGATGACACACAAATGGGCAAGAGACGGCACACACACACACACAGATGTGTGCGGTACATGAACAATATGGCAGCGCCTGTGGCTTAGTGGGTAGGGCGCGAGCCCCATATACCAAGGGTGGCAGGTTCAAACCCAGCCCTGGCCAGACTGCAACGACAACAACAAAAAATAGCCAGACACTGTGGCGGGCGCCTGTAGTCCCAGCTACTCAGGAGGCTGAGGCAAGTGAATCGCTAAGCCTAAGCCCAGAAGTTGGAGGTTGCTGTGAGCATTGTGACACCACAGCACTCTACCAAAGGTGATAAAGTGAGACTCTGTCTCTACAAAAAGAAAAAAAAAACGATTCTCAATACCATTAATCATTATGGAAAGGCAAATCAGAGGCCAGGCCAGTGCCTCATGCTTGTAATCCCAGCACTTTGGGAGGCCAAGCCAGGTGAGCTGCCTGAGCTAGGTTTGAGATCAGCCTGAGCCAGAAGCAAGACCCTGTCTTAAAAAATAGCCACGCATTGTGGTGGGCACCAGTAGTCTCAGCTGTCTGAAAGGCTGAGGCAAGAGAATCACTGAAGCCTAGGAGTTTGAGGTTACTATGAGCTGTGACGCCAGAGCACTCTACTGGGTGCTCAAATGAGACTGTGTCTCAAAAAAAAAGAAAGAGAAAGAAAGGCAAAGGCAAATCAACCCTACAGTGAAATATCACTTCAGGCTTTGCCCGTAGCTCAGTGGGTAGGACACCAGCCACATATACAGAGGCTGACAGGTTCAAACCCAGCCCAGGCCTGCTAAAACAACAATGACAACAACAAAATAACCAGGTGTTGTGGCGGGCACGTATAGTCCCAGTTACTCGGGAGACAAGTAGAATCAAGTAGATTCTCTTGAGACAAGAGAATCGCTTAAGCCCAAGAGTTTGAGGTTGCTGAGAGCTGTGACGCCACGGCACTCCCCCCAGGGCAACAGCTTGAGACTGTCTCAAACAAAAAAAGAAAAGAAAGGTATCACTTTGTACCTGCTAGGACAGCTACTATTTAGAGGTAAAGAAAACCCCACAAAATAACAAGTACTGAGGATGTGGAGAAACTGGACCCCCTGCATGCTGCTGGAGAGAAGGTAAAATGGTACAGCCAATACTGAACAGTGTGAAGATTTCTCAAAAAATGCAAAGTTGAACCACCGTATCATCCAGCAACCTCACCTCCAGCTTTTTGTCCAAAAGAACTGAAAACAGAATCACAAAGATACGTGCATTCTCATGTTCCCTGAAGCATTATTCAGAATAGCCAAGATGTGTAAACAACTTAAAAGCCCATCACCGGGTGACTGAAGAAAATATGCAAGTACACACAATGGACTATTAGCCTTAAAGGAAGGAGGGAGCACTGTCTTGGGACAATCTGGATGAATCAGGAAGCATTATGCTGAGTGACATGAAGTGTCTGTCAGCCAGACCGACAGAAGTGGAGAGTAAAGTGGTGGCTGCGGGGACTTGGGGGAGGCAGCAATGGAGCCCTGCTGTGCAGAGGAGATGAAGGAGCTCTAGAGATCTGCCTAGAGGGTGCACAGACGGTTAATACTATACTATGTTCTTTAACAATGTTATTTTTAATTGAGTAGATTTTTACTGTGATTTTTACCCCCATTTTCTAAAGGGGGAGGGACTTTAGAAAAGTCTACATGACTGATCTTGTTCACACTGAACTCACTCTGGTCAACTTCAAGACATCAACCTTTCCGCTTGTAAGACATTTTCATGTACGTGGTTTTCAAATTCTAAAAGGGTTTTCCCCCTTTTAGAAATCAGAATGACTTGTCCATCTTTAACCCCCTGGTACCTTTCCTTTCATCTAGGATTTTCTAAAGATTATTTACAGTACTTTAGGAAATTTAACTATAAGTTCTCTTAGTGTCCTAAAATAAAACTGATCTGGGACAGAAGATTTGAAAGAAACAGTTAGATGCTGACTAGTTTTCTTCCATGCTACTCATGAATTTCAATTTCCCTCTTATCAATTTTTTTGTACCTTTTCCAAATTAATATGTATTCTCACATAGACAATGTTCTAAAACAAGCTCAAACAAAGACTGCTGGAGCAATTTCACTTTCTCTTATCAGCTTGCATTATACCAAACAGCAGAACCAAGCTTTCAACAGTATAATTAAAGTAATCAAATCCATGGTATTTCTATAGACATTTTAAGAATACAGATATTGAAATTGTAATTTCACTGCTTACTTTTAAATATGCAGCTGCCTCTTGGACAGAAAGAGTTCTTTGACTAGAACTGCCACATTCATGATCTCCTGGAAAGATTAGCATATTATTAATTTTTTAATCAGTACCAAGTTAAACAAAAGAAAAATATGTAATTCAAAATGTTTTATAAATTATACATTATAGGTTATATTATAATTAGTAAGGAAAGAATATGTTATTTTTACTTTCTATAAGAAATTCCAATAACTAATACTACCCTTGCATAAACCATAACATTTTTTTTTTTGGAGACAGTCTCACTTTGTCACCCTTGGTAGAGTGCTGTGACATCATAGCTCACAGCAAGCTCAAACTCTTGGGCTCAAGCAATTCTCTTGCCTCAGCCTCCCAAGTAGCTGGGCCTACAGGTGCCTACCACAACCCCTGGCTATTTTTAGAGATGGGTTCTCACTCTGGCTCAGGCTGGTCTTGAACCTGTGAGCTCAGGTAATCCACTCGCCTCGGCCTCCCAGAGTGCTAGGGAAGGCAATGTATTTAAATGCATTTCAACCCAGACAAGTACAGACATATCTTCCTCTTATATTCCTAATTAAATTGTAAGCCAGGGTAGGAACTATATCATACGAATGATTATCCATTGACCTTGGCACACTGTGGGGGTGAGGGGTATATGCCCTATTCCTAAAGGGGAAAAATTCCTCAAATTCATTGCACTAAGTTACATGCCTACTCCTAAAGCTAATAAAGTAAGGGTTCAAGTAAGTTTGAATTTATTACTGAATTAAAAATCATGCATTTTCTGGCTCGGTGCCTATAGCTCAGCAGCTAGGGATCCAGCCACATCCACCGGGTCTGGTGGGTTTGAGCTCTGCCTGGGCCCACCAAACAACAATGGCAACTATAACTAAAAAATAGCCAGGCGTTGTGGCAGGCACCTGTAGTACCAGCTATCTGGGAGGCTGAGGCAAGAGAATCACTTAAGGCCAAGAGTTGGGGGTTGCTGTGAGCTGTGACGCCACAGCACTCTACCAAAGGCAATATAGTGAGACTCTGTCTCAAAAACAAAACAAAACAAAACATGCATTTTCAGAGCACAGTTAAACCTATCTTAAGAAAGGAGTGTGCATGTCTTAAAAATTTTTGTAACAGATAAACAGGGAATTAGGTAGAAGTCTCCGCCTATGATTTGTTGCTACGAACAGATGTGCTACATATAAATCTTTAGGAAAGCACATTTTCTTTTCTTTTAACTGTTGGTAGAAATCAAAGCCTTTTCTTTAGGCTCTAAGAGGTCATTATGGATACATTATCCTCATACCAGACTTCAAATGTCAGATTCTCCCTGTGTTGGTTCTTTCAAGTAGTTTAAAAAAAAAAATTTAACAAAGAAGTAAAATCCGTGGCAAAATTTTCTCAAATACTATGTTCTTATTTACCAGATTTATTCAAGTAGCCAGGTTTTAATGGCAGCAGTCATAAAAAAGGAAGAAGTACCTATTAGATGAACACGTTTTGAAATGCACCCACAGATTCAGATTTTTACAGATTTAGAGCAGAGGTCAGCAGACTGGAGCCCACAGGTCAAATCTGGCCTACTGATGCCTTTTATATATTAAGTTTATTTGGAACACAGTCAGAGTCATTCATTCTAAGTATAGCTGCTTTCTTGTTGTGACAGCAGAAGAGAGAGTCGTGACAGAGGCAGTCTAGCCTGTGAAAGCCTAAAATATTCACTATCTGACCTTTCACAGAAAAAAAAAAAGTGCTGATCCTTGCCCTAGCAAGAATCTGCGTCTTTAAAAGTACACCAGACTGTGCTGATGATTTAGCAGGCCAAGAGCTACAAGCCAGCATTAGAGATACCTACAGACCAGGGGTCCTCAACCTGTGGGTTGAGACTCACAGGAAGTGTATTAAGGGCCGCAGTATTAGGACCGTTGAGAACCACTGCTGTAGATGGTTGTGTTAGCAGCATCAGAACTCTTAGCTAGACTGTATATTAATACTAGACCTACTTCTGGGTGCTACGGCATACCAAATAAATGTCATTAGCTTGTATTACATGAGTATGATGCAAAGAAGCCCACCCCAAAAGTGTGTGTATATATATAAAAACATAAAAAACTGACCAGAATCAAGGATCCAAAGAAAAAACAAGAACAGGTGAAAGGACAGGAAACCATCAGGATCCACCATGGAAGGCCCCATTCACATGCCAGGTTTCCACCCACCACCTGGCACCACACAAGAAACTGCTACATACACAAGTTAGAAAACCAGTATTTTTCTTTTCTTGTAACTGCTTATAAGAAGATAATCGAAAGTCTTTTCTTAAGATTATGTATACAATAAGAATAATTTTAAAAAGTTAATAGTTAATAGATAAGCTCCTAATGTAGCTTATAATATGGTAAATTTGATATTAATTCATCTAAAACATGTTCTCTTATTCTAATTGTAGACATGTTAAATTATAGATCTGAGAGCTCTCAAAGAGCAAAATATGAGGAAAATGCATTGAATCAGGAAAGACATTTCCAGGAGAATATACAGTAGAACCTGTGTAAGGCTACACGCAAGGGTCTGTGACAAACTGGTCCACATAGAGGTGGTCAACATAAGGAACGAGGCCTGCTGTACTATTTGCACATGTGGTGCAGGTCTGGTCTCTGACAGCTGGGTCAACATAAGGAGGTGGTCAGTGTAGGGAGGTATTTCAGCTTTAGAGGCTATGGAGTTTCTACCGTATTTACTTTATCCAAAGGAATGACACCTAAATAACTATCAAAAGGAAAATCTGCATTTACACTCAATCCAAGATTTTACTGAATAGATAACTCATTGCTTATCCAACTCAATTGATATTTTAGCTTTCAGAAGTTGTGTTACTATTAATGCAATAAAGAAATATGACTTAAAATTACACTGCATAGTACAATACATACACACACACATATCTAACACAGGCAGCAAACAGGAACAAGTCCTGGACCATGTATATCTACTAAAAACAAAACAGTTTATAGATAATAAAAAGTTCTAAAGGAAAATATTCTACAAATATAACACCAAACTTGAGAAAAACTATTTCTACTGATACAACATGCTACCTATGCGCATCAATTTTTCCAAACGATTTTAGATAATAAATGTCAATGCAATTACCTGCAAGCTGTGCCAATCGATCATGGAGCTTGTACAATGTGCTCATCATAAGATTTTTTTCACTTTCCTAAAATTAGAAGAAATTATTACAAAATATCCAATTCTAAGGAAAATATGTGGCAAATAATTGTTATTCAAAACAAAAAAAAACAGTAAATGAATTTAAAATAATAGAAGCTACATAATCTGAAAGACAAAAGTTCATCTTTAAATAATGGCCACAATATTTTAAGGAACATTAATCTAAGAATTTAAATGATCACTCTAAATATTTTACTTTCTTGAGAATGATCAAAACGTTGGCCCTACAGTTTGTACAAAAAAAGGTCTCAGGAAACAATAAACACTCCCTCACCACAAAAGCTGTGCTCCCAGCCCTTGTCTATACAATGCATGCCGATCCTATACAGTGTTCTAAGGACATTGGTTTTTTCATTAAGACTGCCACTCGTGGTTTTTTTTCTGTGTATATGTGTGTTTATTGAGAATCTTGTTCTGTGTTGGCTAGTGTGCCATGGCCTTAGCCTAACTTACAGCAACCTCAAACTCTGGGCTCAAGTGATCCTCCTGCCTCAGCCTCCTGGGTAGCTGGAACTATAGGCACATACCACCAAACCTGATTAAATTTTCTATTTGTGGCTGGCCACTCGTAGCTCAGTGGTTAGGACACGGGTCACATACACCGAGGCAGGCGGGTTTGAACTCAGCCCAGGCCTGCTAAACCACAATGACAACGTCAACAAAAATACAGCTGGGTGTTGTGGCAGGTGCCTGTAGTCCCAGCTACTTGTGAGACTGAGGCAAGAGAATCACTTAAGTCCAAGAGTTAGAGGTTGTTATGAGCTGTGACGCTATGGCACTCTACCAAAGGCAACACAATAAGACTCTCTTTTAAAAAAAAAGCTTTTTGTGTTTGTTCCATTTTTAGTAGAGATGGGATCTTGCTTTATTAAGGTTGGTCTTGTACCCTTGATCTCAAGTGAGCCTCCCATCTCACCGTCCCAGAGTGCTGAGTTTACAGGTGTGAGCCACCACACCCACATTTCACACACATTTGGTTTTACTCTAACTGAACCACATAAAACTAAGAGAACGAGTATTGACACAGACTGAACCTCATCCTTTCCTAGGACCCCAAGGTAGCCATGTAGGAACTTCACTAAAGTAAAACAAATACTCAATGAATATCTAGTAGTAGGAGTTAAGAAGAATTCCCCCAGCAACGTGAGAGACCCAGTGAACAAGATGGTTCCTGTTCTAAAGGGCAAAAAAGGTACCGTTACATGACATATGCAAAGTATGACGTAGATACGGAAGAGGGAAGGAAGGGTAGACACATTTATAAAACAGAATATCTAAGTTAGATTCCAAAGTAAAAAAGAATACATCAGCACTTGAGGCAGAAGGAACAGCCTGAGAAGGCTCCATGACGGCACTCGCTATACTTCTTACATAACCACAGTCTACTTTGACTCAACAAACTACGTACTGGAAAAAGTTTGGAATTAATTGCCCAAGATCCCTGGATATGAAGACAAAGAATTTGGCTTCATTCTGAAAACTTAGAAGAAAGAAAGGAAAACAGACCTGTCTTTCAGAATGTCCAGGATGGCCTGGAGGCAGAAATAACTGGAGAGTCCAGAGAGGAGACTACGGCAGACAGCATGCGCTCCCTGCCCAGTAGTCTAACGCAGTAAGCCTCTCAACTTAAGAGCAACTACAATTAAGTGTGACCAACAAGGGTGATGAAAAAGGGTAGGTTGGAGAAGGGGAGACAGCTTATTATTCCATCTGGAATTAATTCAAGATTCAGCAGGGGTCTATATATTCATTATGTCTTCTCTTCCTGGAGTGTCTAACAAAACAGGATTGCTGGGTGAATACAACTATGGAGCAAATTCAGGCAGGATATAAAAGGCTAAAATATTAACATTCTTATATCTAACGGCATTCAACCTCATCCGTTTATTTTCATGGTATATGTTCAGAGACAGAAGAAAAGAAATTTGCACACTATAGGTGGCATGCTTCCATCAACGTTGCTTTAATCAGTGACACTAAGAGGCAAACACATCAGAGCCCCCAACATCCTACCACCAGAGCCCCTAGCTTTACATCAGATGGTTGACTGAGTTATTTATTCCTTTAGTTCATTAATTGCTTTCCAACACTTTTGCTTTGAGGGAGGGCTCAACTTTATTGCACTCAAATTCTGAATCAAGACAGTCTTTAACTTTCGCATAAGATTAAAAATCCAAACTCCAGGGCGGTGCCCATAGCTCGTGGTAGGACACTGGCCACATATACAGGCTGGCGGTTCGAACCCAGCCTGGGCCTGCTAAACAATGACAACCGCAACAAAAAAATAGCCAGACATTGTGGGAAGTGCCTGTAGTCCTAGCTACTTGGGAGGCTAAGGCAAGAGAATCACGTAAGCGCAAGAGCCTGAGATTGCTGTGAGCTGTGACCCTACGGTACTCTACCCAGGGCAACAGCTCGAGACTCTGTCTCAAAAAAAAAAAAA